CTCAAGTGACAGATGTGTTAAAGTATTAATCGGGGAAAAAGATGTAACACTAAATGACATAGGACTTCACAATATTTCTATTAAAACCACTGAGGATGCAACTATAGTCTTCAATACAGTGAAACAAGCTAAAGTTTGTTGTGGCAAACCGGTTGATAGAAAAACGTATGTCCCAAAAAACAGTCTTTAACAACAATGGTTAAAAATTGGAGATGAGAATTCTTTTGAACACAGACTTTCAACAAATAAATGCAAAGGTTTTTTACCATTTAATGCAGTGTCATCCTTGTGCTCATTGTGCCAAAAACAGAATATTAAATGTTGTAGTGAAAATATGTCTTGCAGTGATCCACAAGATAATACTTTGAATGTTGTACCAGAAGAGCCTGATAGACTAGCTACTTTAAAGTCTATTTTCCCTGGATGCAATGACCTTATGTTTAAAATATTATTAGCTCAAAGCAATATTTGTAACTCACCACATCAAAATCCAAGGTGTAGGCGTTGGGACAAAGAGATTGTACAGGTGTGCCTAACTTTATGGAATCGCAGTCCACAGGCATATGTTTCCTTATGTAGCAGTGGTATGCTCTTCCTACCATCTATCAATCTCCTACAAAGATATAAAAATTGCTTTGATCAAAGCCCTAGGATAAATGACAATATGCTTACGTGGATGTATAATGAAGCAAAACAACTTAATGTCGACATGAGAGGTGGTATCATATTAGATGAAATGGCTATACAGGAGGATCTGAAAATGAGTTTTTATGGGGGTCAGAATACTGTTGATGGTATTGTGGACATGGGTAATTTTGCTGAGGACTTGCATAAATTAAATAGTCATAAAAGTGAACTGCGCTTAGCAACACATATTTTACAATTCATCTTTTTATCATATGATGGTTTCCGTTTCCCATTTGCTTATTTTCCATCAAAGGGTGCAAATGTTCACGAGCTTTATCTTACAACATGGGAGGCCATTTCTAAACTTTTTACATATGAATTTACAATAGACTATGTTTGCTTTGATGGAGCAAGTACCAATCGTGCTTTTCAATTGATGCACTTCCAAAGTAAAGAGGAAGCCAAAACTTCAAATTATACAACAAAAAATCCATACGGAGATAACAATGTAACATTCATTATGGACTATTCACATAATATTAAAAAACTTCGCAATAACATTCATTCTAGTGGTGACCATGATGTTTGCACAAGAAAGTTGTACATTAACAATTTATATATAGAATGGAAACACTGGATTGAAGCATTCAATTGGGATAGATCTCATAATCCTATGCGTGTTCATCAAAAATTGACTAATGAACATATATTTTTAACTAAAGTGTCAAAAATGCGCAATCATCTTGCTGAGGAGGTTTTGAATAAGGAAATGTTGCATCTCATGAAAGCTTATCAAAGTTCATTGTCTGATGGGTCATACTTGGATATGTCCATAGAACTCCTTGAACAAACAAGTGGTATAATTGAGCTATTTCGAGATCGAAGGCCTATATCAGACTTAAATGATCCAAGACTAGTTTGTTTAAAAAAAATTGAAAATTGGCTAGACACCTGGTTAGAGTCTGTAGAAAGTTTGACTGATATTTCTGCTTCTAATCGTGCAAAAAAGTTCATAAGTAAAGAAACATATAGTGACTTTGTTAGCATGATCAGGGGATTCTTACAAATATGTGACCTCAGAATCAATGTCCATAAAAGAACATTGGTTCCTGCTGGTTTGAATAGTGATGTAATTGAAAACTTTTTTTGTCAGCAGAGGACAATTTGCCATGGCTCAAATACAAATCCCACTGTTCATCAGTACAAATATGCAATAAATGCTACAATTCTTGGTCAGAATGCTGTATCCAAAAAAAGCAATGCAGCATCATCTACAAAAAGGAAGTCAATACAACCTTTTATTATTTCAAAACCAGGTCCACTTAAAAAAAGGTGTAAGAAAATATAGAGAAATTGATGTATTAAAATCAAATTTTATGCTCTTTTGTGCCATAACATTTATATAAAAGGACTATTGGTTTGTTTTTAATTGAATATGGAAGATATGTCACTTTGGCAGTCAGCATAAATTTCAAATATTCAGTGACTGTAAGAGTCTTCATGCCCATCAAAATATAAAAAACAATAAGAGGCATATTCCATATTCTGTAAAAACAAACAAATATCCTCTAATATCTTGCTTATTTGTTACCAAGCTATTTAAAATGTTTAAAGGTACATGCCTTTAGAAGAGCCACTGATATTTCATGCAATTGAAACTTTATAAAATTTGATTAAAATTTTTATATTAAATCAAATGAAATTAAATTAAATAAACTTAATTCTCAACTTTTTTTACATGTACCATGTAAAAGAAGTTGAGATTTAAGTTATAATTTACATGCTAAAATGTTTAAAGACCTATAACTTGAAAATGGATTTGTACATTTCAAATATATGTTAGCATAATGGTACCTCATAAATGTAGTTAATATGTAAGGAATCTATGCAGAACAGGCTGTACATGTCCATGGAGTATCTTCAACTTGTAGATCATCCCACATGTCATCTGAAATTTCTTCACAACTTCTATGAAGCCAATTGTTACATGAATCACACTGAATCCATTCTTCTCCATCTAAATATTCTTCAGAACAAATTTTACAGAAATATTTTTTAATAGCTGCTTTTTTACTTTTTCCTTTCCCTTTACCTTTACCAGGAGTCTTGGAACGCTTCCGTGTAGCCCCTGATATTGATGGCAGTGATACGTCTGCTGATAAAAGTTCGGGGTTCATTATTTTATCACTGGAAATAATACTTTTTCTAAGATTTTCTGCTAGATCTTTCTTTTTCATATTTTTAGTAAACAATACTCCATAGGCAGAACATAATTTCATTAATTCCACATTTGTAAATTCTCTTCCAGTTAAATAGTTTTCATTAGACATACAATTCAATTTTAATTTCATATGTGAATTATTTTTATTTTGGGAAATATCAGAAACAATGTCTTTCAATGACAGGTCTATTTCGGATTTTCTTTTTTCAGTTTTCTTCTGTATTTCTTCTCTATGAGCTTTTTTCTTAAGCACATTAAGCCGATCTTTTGTATCAATCAGGAGTTGTTTGTGACAAACCAGTAAGTATTTGTGAACAATTTCTTTATATAAAGAATAAACAGTATCCTGAGTAACATTTTCATCTGTAAACAGCTCAAAAAATAAAAGTTTCAAGTCATCATCATTTTCAATCTCTGACAATGTGTATTCAAATATTTGCTTTTTTTGTATTCTAAATATTTCTGTACTCAAAAGTTTATTTACTTTTTCATTTAAGTTTAAAAAAAACTGAAAACATTGGTCACCTAAATAAGTTAGAGCTTTTCTAACATTCTGTTTACGCTCAATTTCTTGAAGAGTTTTATCACATTGGAAATCCAAATCTTCATTTGCAATCATCTGTTTTAATATGTTAATTTTGTTTTCAGAATCTTTCACAAGATTTTTGACATTTTTGTCCGGATTGTTTTGATTTGATATTATAACACTGATATAATGTTGAGATATTTTTGCCACACACATACCACCTACATATCTGATTTTGCCTTTGCCCGCATCGGACATAGGAGCAGCTGTTGTTGTTAACTGATGCTAAATATTAGCTTCTTCAGCAATATTATGTGTACATAGTCTTAATATTTCCTTTAGTATATTTGAAGCAAAATGTTTTTGTTCCGGTGATAGTTCATTAACTAGAAATAACTTTTTTACATTTTCATAATATTTCTCACTGATTATATACTGATGATTACTTGCAAAAACTGATGCTATTTCTTTACTACCTGTGTTCATGTTGAAAGGACCTAAATACAGAATTCCTTCTGAAATTGATTTTAATGCTTGTCGTGGTCAGATTGCTGAATCTATAGAGGATTTTTCGGTCAAATGGTGTCGCCGTGAAAATGCGGATAGTAATGCTCTAGTTACATGGAAACGTAACATCTTTAAAATTATTGATTCACGTATTAATTTTTATCGTGGAAATGAACATCTTTTGCCACCTAAAACAAGACTTACTTTAAGACATCTGAAGAAAGATATTCTAGCTTTTCATTCACAATTTGTTTTGTGCCAGCGGACAAGGCGGCTAATATAATATTATAATTGTATGACGAATCCATTACATTAACGTTTTGCATAAGGAACTTAATAGTACTAATTGCGTATTCTAAAACCTCTGCCTCCGAAAAAGACATTGTAAACAATCATATTACTAATATTTCAAATCTTAAAGTACAAATTAATGAAAAAGAACTTAAACTTCCTATTATGTATTGGATTCCTAAATTACATAAAAAACCTTACAAAGCTAGATTCTCATTGCTAATTCTACATCTTGCACTACAAGTAAACTTTCTATTTATTGACGTCTTGTTTGACTGCCATTAAAACACATGTAATTAGATATTGTGATAAAGTCTATGAAAACACAGGCAAAACATCTCTTTTGGTCAATTAAAAATTCTGGTGAAATCTTGGATAAATTCAAAATTAAGAACTTTCAAGCTTCAACTGTCAGTACATACGATTTTTCTACACTTTATACAAACTTTGCACATAAATTAATACAATGATAAAACTAATTTCCCCATAATTCAGAAAACTTTTGCAAGGGAAAAGTTACCTTTCTCGCATGTATTCTAAAAAAGCTTTTTTTACTAACGGTATTGTAAAACATTATACTATGTGGACCTGTGACGAAGTTTGTAGAGCACTCTCTTTTTTTTTTAGACAACATTTATGTCAGGTTTTTGTAATACCCATTTAAAAACAGATCATAGGAAATTCCTATGGGTACTAATTGTGCACCCCTGGTCGCCGATTTGTTTTTTTACTGCTATGAAAAGAGACTTTTATGTTGAGTCTCTCTGAAGATAAACAACAAATGTTTATAGTCGCATTTAATAATACTTCCAGATACCTTGATGATATTTTTTAATTTAGATAATCCTTATTTTGATCAAATGGTGTCTGACATTTATCCGCAATGAATACAACTTAATAAAACGAACTCTTCAAATTTTAGTACATCATTTTTGGATCTTCATATTACTATCAACAACAATTCTATTCACACGAAAATCTATGATAAAAGAGATGACTTTGACTTTGTATAGTTAATTATCTACATTTAGATGGAGAGCGTACCCATGCAACATCTTACGGGGTTTATGTTTCCCAGTTATTAGATTCGCTAGAGCTTGTAGCAACGTAAAGGATTTCAACGAGCGGAATATTTTTATTACAGCAAGCTTCTAAATTACGGAAATATTTTACTAAATTTTACAATCGTAACTTTGATTTAATTTCCAAATTCAATAGTGATTTAAAAACTCTTCTGCGACAAGGGATTAGCCAGCCTGGTTTTTATGGCGATGTGATTTACAAACTTCGTAAGATTTTGGGTCTGGAATTTTTTGTTTTTTACTAAAAACATTAACGTTTTATTAAAAGGTTATACCCTATATTTAAAACATACTGCTTTTAGTGTTCAATTTTTACAGTTTGGGCACTACGCTTTCCTTTTTGATTGCATTGACGGACAAGTGGGGGATCTATGATGGAATTTTGTAAAGCCTTTGGATGAATTTTTTTAATTTCGTCTTCTCCTTTTTCGTCGGCCCCTTTAGGTATTTTCTTTTGTCTTCTTCCTTTTGGGGATTGAGTATTTTGTTATGGTATTGGGGTTTTTTTTTAAATGTTTCTCATATCATTTTAAAAGTTTACTTAATTTAACCTTTTTTTAACCATGAAACTGTTAGAATTTACTTGGCGGGGATTTATTTTATTTACCGTTTTGTTTATAGGGAAAATGGTGGGGCTAAAAGGAAAGGTTTGGGACCATTCCGTTTTAAAATCCCAGCGTTATTTTTTGCGTGACCCTTCCAAGGGGGCGCCCATGTGTTCCCCAGATTATGTCTATGTTTTTTATACTGTTTGGTGACACTTTTGCTTGGGGGCCCCGTTTTTTTCTCGTCTACGGGAAATTTTCTTCCCTTGCCCCTGGTTTTTATTTCTTGATTTCCACCCCCCCCCGGTCTCCCCGTCCCCTTCCCCCTTTTTGGGTTTTTTTTTTTCTTTGAACCCAACAGTTACAAAATTAAATTTCATTTAAGATTAACCCGCGTGCTCTGTTTTGCCTGTCCCGTTTTGTTTGGGTCCCCCGGGGTCCTTCATGGTTTTGTTGCTGGGGCATGTGGGGGTGGTTCATTGAACGCCCTTTTCCTGTTGTTTGTTTATATATTGGATCACTTCTGACTACTGTTCATGAAAATTTTTTTAATCGACTTTGCAAAAAAATGTTAATCTTGAGTAGTCACATTTTTCACATACAATATTAATTTTTCTATGTGTTTCAGTCACTGGCTTCTCATTAAAATTAAAAGCCTTTAGATAATTTAAATCAATATAACTAGGTAACACCTGATCTGTAATTTCACTCTGCTCCTCAATGAAATTCTTTTCAATAAAGTCAATTTCATTCATTTCAAATTCTGAATCTGAGTCATAATCAAGAAAAGATTCTGTATCAGCTGAAATTTTACTGACTGATTTGTTTGAACAACAACTGTAATCATTCAAAAATTGACAACTTTCTGTTTTATAAAAGTCAGAAACAACTGCTTTGGGTAAATAACAAATACCTTTCCTATAGTTCAGTAGCTGTAAACCATTTGAAGATACTGCTCTACCAATAGCAACTGAAAACTGACCAGGTTGGAATATGCCTGTACAATTAACAACAACATTTTCTAATGTCATGCCTTGAGCTTTGTGTATTGTCATACTGTAACCTAAAACCAGGGGAAACTGTTCACGCTGTGCTACTACAGATTTTTTAGTTACACTGTATTTTGAGAAAAGATATCTTTTAATATTATGTGTTTCATTTATAGCAGAAAAATATACAGAAATGGTGTCCTCTTCTAAGTATTTAACATACCCTTTCAATCCATTCACAAGTTTTCCACTCAGATTAACTAAAAGAATCACTGGACAATTAATCTTTAAATGAAGGTAGTTCCAGGCTAAAATTTTATTAAGATATTTTTTACCCCCTTCATTTCTAATGGCTTTGTAAATCCTGCCTTCTTCACTGGACTTGTTCAAATGTTCATTATTATACATTGTTGAGTCAATATTTTTTGCAAAAAGATGAACAGTATCTATATCATTTGGCAATGGCCTACTTAAACCTTTTAAGAACACATCTGTCTCTTCAGAAAGAGTTCCAAGGGCAGACTCTTTAACTGCTTTTATTAAAGACTCCTCATCATGTCGAACCACTTTCTTCAATAAGACTTTATGAGTTATACATTTCTTGAAAACTTCACTTTCAAAACAGAAATTACCATTGTCATTGTGTAAAGGGTCAGGGACTGGTGGAAGTTGATAAAAGTCTCCACATACCAAAACTTGTAAGCCTCCAAAATAGTTATCTTTGTCAAGTAGCACTCTACATACTGTCTCAAGCTGTTCAAAACTGTTTTTGGATAGCATAGATATTTCATCAATGATTATCACTTCTGTAGACCTCACATTATCTCTAACTTGAGAAAACTTGTCATCATTGAGCACCAAATTCTGTATTGTAAGGACATCATAACGTCCATCATATAAACCAGCCCAGCTGTAAAAAGAAAATAAATTAACTAAGTAGTTACAATGAGTTGTTTGATAAAATTGTTAATGGTTTCAAATGATTGGATGATTGAAAAAAATAATGATTGTTATCACTTTTACATTTTTAAGTGACTTTCCATTTTCTTTTATTTAATTATTTAATATTTTAATATTAACTTTACAATATTTATTTAAAAATTTGTACTCTGGTTGCTTTGATAGCATGCAATTGTGAATGTTTTGAAAAGAAATGAAATCAAATGTAAAAAATAAAACATTACTTCTTGAACCTTTTACATGTGTTTTTTTGTATAATGACATTATTATATAAATAAAAAATTAAAGAATTTCTGAAAACCTCCTGAATTTTTGAAATGGACTTGTCCACCTTCCATTTGTTATACTGTTCATTCTTAATATAAGGGATATCAAAATGAAATATCCATGTATATAAGCTGGTAAGACTCTATGGATATTAAATAAATAAGCACTAGAATGAAAGAAATTGTCAATCATTGTTCAATACCTATGAACAGTATGTGCGTCAAATTCACCGTATTGTAAACAAGCCATTCCAGTAGTACATAAAAGTGCCACTTTACGGTTTCTATTCAATGTTTTACATATGGTTTTGACTGTATGGGTCTTGCCCGTGCCGGCTTGTCCACTAATTAAAAGATTGTGACCGCTTATTACAGCATTCAGAGCCAAACACTGATCAGAATTCAACATTTTATCTGTTGATGTTCACGCACAAGGGCAAATTTGACAGATAGTGCGAAAAATCTCCCGTAATAATATGAGCCAATCAGATTGCGTGTTACAAATCGGCCACAACAACAACAACTAAACCGGAAGTTAATGGTGACAGAAGGTTTCTGCGAAAAAACAAAAGTGAGAATTTCGATAAAAAATGTAGGAACGGTAAAAGTTGAGAAATTGTTACTTACCAGTTTTGTAGATAAATGTATATTCTATGAATCGAGACCGATGTTTATCTCCCTTTTGCAGTTGGAATGTAAAAATAAGCGGTTAGATCGTACCCACTGTCGAAAAGGTTCAATACCATGCGAAAATTATATATGACAGTATATACGGGGGTGTGTCGGAAATTTTTTTTCTGATAATATTTCGGGCAGTTTGTGTTATATGGGTATAATTTATCTATTTCATGATTATTTTAGGACTCTGGTGCCAGTGACATTGTCTTATTGTTATGAACGAGAACATGCCAATAAAATTTTGATTAAACAGTAGCTAGTACATCTTATGTGATGATTATTATAATTATCAATATTAGGGCATGTAGTTCTTAGTATTTATACTTTGTTTCATTATATAATTTATATAACATGTGTATAATGGATATACATTAATCCGTATTAAAAGGCTTAGAAGATATATTGCGACAGTATTGCGCTGAATCGCTTTCTATTCCTTAATGCCGGTTATAATTACAATATGTACAAGGACAGTTTGTATTGCTAATTCTATCAATTTCAGGTCGGAAACATAAAAAATTAAAAACGTTTATCACACACCCGTGCCGATTTTGCGACTCCGTAAATATGGTATTGCACGGCCGTGCATATATTTTGACGTGACGTCATTAGCGTTATACAAACATAGTGTAAAGACGCGCTAAATGTTAGCGTTATACTATCGGCGCGTCAATGAAAAATGACTCTTATTTCACTTTAAACGGTCTTTATTTTGGGTATGTGATAAATAGAATATTAAATTCGTGTAAGTTCATTATTGAATTTATTGCACTCGTTGAATAAAATAATATTATGCTCGCCAGAGGCTCGCATAATATAATTTTATTCAACTCGTGCAATAAATTCAGTATTGAACTTACACTCATTCAATATCCTCTATTTATTCCAGACTGAACGACTATAAAATCAAAATGCACTTAATGTATTGTATTTTAATATTTAATTGTCCCGCTAATGAGGTAGTAGGACCTACTAGCACGTCATTCATACAGGAATTATTAATGCTTTGTTTTGAATAATCATATTAATTTATACTTATATGTGGTTTAAGTGTAATTAGAAAGTAAAAATACAAGGTAATATATTTAGCGATATGTTTCATCAGTTATATATGAATAAATTCATGTAAATAGTGCCACATACTAGACGATACTGACCTCTGTAAAATTAATTATAACAATTTGAAATAAAATACTTATAAGCATTTAAAGTATACAATTCATTTTACTCAAATTAGAAAATAAATTAACGAATTCATGTAAAATTACAAAATTATTAAGCCTTAAGTGAACTGATTTCAATCCTCTGAAATAGTAGAAAATTATCTGTTAGTTCGTCAATTGTGGGAAAATACAATACAGTTGAATATAAATCAATCATACCGATGCTTCATTAAATTCATACTAATTTAAGTGACAACTTTTTTAAAATCATTGAAATGACATTAACCAAATGTAATCGAACATATTTTCAGTTTTTTTGGTCTTTTATCAAGACAGTCATTTATGTGATGACATTATTTATTATTAATGCAGAAATTTTATCGATAGCAATGCTGTATTTTTGTATTAAATGAAAATTATGTTGTTGACAATACACCTGGTATAGAGTTCTATGATTTATGAGTGGTAATTAATAAGTCACGTGTGCAGAAATTGGTGATTACTAGTTAGTTTTTCAGGAAATCCGATTAGCTGTATTGACCAACGAGAGGTGAAGATGTGACCAAAATGTACTTAAAATGGCGTAAAACAAACAAACAAAATACAGATTTATCTCTTTTTATTACATTTAAAATATTTAGAAATCTATATTTTTTTTAAAAATCATAAACGTCATATTTGATTTGGTGTTTCTGAAAATGACAACTTTTCTATCTTTGCCTAACAGATATTTTTTACACGCCTATTAGACAATTGTAATAAAGGTAAGATAACACAATCGATAGCGTAATGTATTATTCTTTGTTATCTGCCAGGGCACACTGATAACATAATTGAGCTTGTATAGACTGTGCTGATGGAAACCTTTTAAATGATACATCTGTCAATGTAATGTGCCCTGACTCCAGATATCCGATATCACATAACACAGGTAGTTTATTTACAATAGACGAACAAACAAAGCGGGAGTTCTGAACTTAAAACGTGATTTTCCGATTTTGTCATCTGATGACATGGGTGTTTTAATGACTTGTAATAGTATTTATTTCGCACAAATAACTTAAACAGGTGATTGATACAGATTTGCTGTTAATGCTTTTGTGTGATTTCACATAAAATGGATGAAAAGTAATTTTGTCTGTAATGTGTAGATTAAAATCAAATATTACCACATAAAAACATCTTTTAAGTTTGTTTTGACCTGACGTTTTGTTTTGACCTGAGTTTTAATAATGTTTAGATGAGATACATACATCATTGCCACTAGACAATCACCCAGCTTATAGTTAAACAATACATACTATATACACATTGCATTTTGTCAAAAGTATTGTGCTGATTTTTAATCATAAAAACTAAATGCATTAGATGAATTTGAACGAGGTCGTATTGTTACTGCAAAAGAGAAATTAAACAATTTGACTAGCAAAATGCAGAATTTGACAGCATTCGGACACTCATTTTCAAGCAGATTTTGTTTTGTGGTTCTAAGCTTTATCTTGTCATTTTTTATTTAACTAATAAACGAACTAGGATACATTGCAAATACAATATTATGTCAATAATACGATAAAAACAATTTACGAATGTTAAGAACAAGGCAATTATAATGCTATTGTTTTTAATAAGAACAGCAAATCAACGTCTTTTACATGTAATTAAATAGATTTTTAATATATACATTTCCGAAATGAAAGACACTGCAGCATTTACATGCATGCATTTCAAAACAATTTTGTGTGTGTGTTTCTTATTAAGATGTATGATGATATTTATTTCTGTACAAATTTTATTGGAAGAGCTGTATGCTTAACAATGTTTGAACACTTGAGAAACTCTTTTTCTAGGAAAGCATATTTATATTAATGAAAGTCAAAACGGAAAACCTGTTTTGAAAACCGAGGTTATTTTCGCGTTTGAATATTACCATGAAGAGTAAAAATGGGATATTCCCATGTAAATGAACATTTGTTTTCTTGTTTATTTTATGCTTCAAACAAAGAAAAATTATATTAATTTTAAATAATATTTAATTTTAAAAAGAAAAGAGAGTGTGCATTGCAACTGCATACAATGTGTTAATAAATTATGAGTCGAATTGCTAGCATAATCGCAAATTCCCCAACGCATTTGAATTGCCTTTATCGGATGATTCCATCTTAAGTTGCCAAACAACAAAAATGACAACTTGCATTTAAATATTTTCCTTAGTCCGGGTCTAGAAATTCCCTAACCTATCTTAGGCACTGTTTGATGTACGGATACAAGTTGCAAAATGTCAACAGTTAAATTGATGTTTCATTTTACCAAAGTCCATTGGCGTTACGATAGTTGATTTGGAAGCAAGGGCGTTGTCGGCCGTAGCAGAATTTCGCACTATGGTTCATCTATCGAGTTTAAGTGTAATGGTTGACAACAGCATGTTTTATTTTTCATTGTGAATCATTCCGGTAGCAGTGGTTTGTTGGAACTGGAAACTATTGTACCATTCCGCAAACACAAACATAGTATATGACACGCCCGTTAAACATTTTCTTCTTGAATAATCTGGGACATTCTCCATTTTGATCCAATTTTTATTGTATTTTGCTTTTCATTTTGCTCTAAGAACCACATGGACGTTACATCACTCATGACATGTCATTTAGCCCCGTAACATTGTATTGTGTATTTTCGTCCAGCGCCTTCGTAACAGAAATCACGTCATATTACACAAAATTTAGAATACGGACATCTTAAATGGAGGAAATCTTAGATAACATAAAAAATCAGTAACAATCTCACTTTGGCGTACACCTGCTGCTTGCCGTCTGATCATGGTCTGCACTGTGTGTATTTTCAGTCGGTTCTAATTTCAGAGCAATTTTTAAAAATGAAAAGTGTAGTCCGGATTGAATAGGCCCATTTATTATTATAGGCTAAGCATCTATGACTTGTATTGCATTAAACAAAACGGTTTGAACGGATTTTGTTCAGTTTGAGTTCTTCAAAAATAAAACTCTGGACAACAGTGATCCCCCTGAAGCATAAATCACAACAAAATTATATGAAAAGTGCAGACTCTGATTGATTAAGTCTGTACGTGAGGAATAATGAAGAAGTGCAGCATCCTTCTTGTCCCCTAGCATGATATACTTGAAACAAATCTGTTAAATTATATTGGGTTCCAAGTCATGTAGGTATACGAGGAAATGAAAAAGTAGATGCTTTAGCTAAACAATCATTAAATTTTCAAAAAACTGACTTATTGTTACCTGCTTGTGATTTTAGACCGGCTATAAATAAACTCGTATCATCTGAATGGAAAACAAATTGGGACAAAGCCGTTTTTAATCAACTTCACGATATAAACCCTTCTCTTGATGTGTCACCATCTCTTTCTCTGTCAAACCGCCATGATCAAACAGTTCTTCTTCGATGTCGGATTGGACACACCAAAATTACTCACCCTTATCTCCTCACGAATGACAATGCCGCTTTCTGTGAAGCTTGTAATGAAACTTTTACTGTCAAGCATTTTCTTCTTGAATGTCATGATTTTTCACAGGCCCGTAATAGATTTTATTGTGTAAACTCACTCAAAGAACTCTTTAATACAATGCCATCAAAAACATTATTGATTATTTGAAAGAGATAAACTTGTATTCCCGGATCTAATTGGCTCATTTTCATTGTCATTTACAAAGTTTAACATAACATTTTAAGCCTATTATGGCATTCGGCACGATATGGCCAGTTATGTGTTGACGTGCCGTAAAAATCCAAACAAACAAAAAAATAAAGTGCTGGAAACAATAATCCAGAAGAACCAGAACTTTGGTGTTGCAGTATCTTTCTGATATGATTCAATTGATCATAATAAAGGCTTTATTAGATGATACAAAAGATGAATAGGTTCAAAACAAAACCATGCGCATGTTACAAAAAAAGGATGTTACCACTAGTCACATCGATTCTTTGGTACTCTTTGGAGAGATAATCGATTTTGTCACTATAATATTACTACATATTTGAGGACGATACTGTGACGAAAGTGTTGTATAGATATATCGTCACGAAAATTAAAATGTCGAAGTTTTACTTACAGCATTATGCAATCCAAATAGCTCAAGTAGGTATGAATAGACATTTTAGATTTTCAGATGAAATGAACAGACTTAACAGATATGTGTCCAGACACTAGTACAAGGTGTTTAACCTTTATTACTTTAATGGCGTTCTCGGATATTTATATGACTCAAATTATTGTGTGCACTATTAAGCTGAATGTGCCAAAATGATTTTGTTTCTGTCACATTGTCCTCGCCAGTAGAGGAAGTACATAATTACAAACCAGACCCTATTCTGTAACTCGCATGATTTGTCATGTCAAATGCTATATTGTCACTAAAAGCTAAAAGCTTTTGAAGATCATCCCGAGAAATTTGTCTTGTCTTCAATAAATACATATGAATCTCACTATTGTCTTTTCTAATTAGCATAAAAACAAGAATCTTATTCCAATGCAATGTGTCAGAATATCACAAAGTGATGATAAATAACGAGGAATTGGTAAAGAGAATTTCCTTGTATGAGCAAAATATTTTGTTTCGGGACTTTATATGACACTTACTGTTACTGCAAATTGATGAATTTAAACGAAAGGTTCTACTGCAAATTAAAACGCCACTCATGAAATATGTATTTTCATACCAGTCTATGAAAATACTTCCTGTCATTATAGAAATATAGAAATGAATATCCTTTATATGTGCAAAAACGTCATTTACAGAAGCGACTAATTATTTATTGAAAATACCTCATTTCAATAGTTTATTGTCAAAGAATGTAAAGGTATCATTCTTAATATTTTTTCTTTTTTGGCATACAAATAAGCATTATTTTTAATACTGTGTGCCAAAGAAAACTACAATGATAAATTGTAAGGGTTTAAAAGAGAGATTTTGCCAATTAAGATGATCGAGTACAAGAAAGAAACGTCTTTAACTAATGTTTATATTGATATTGCGAAGTGCCAAGACTAAAAAGGTTCTATTTGGGATTTTCTGTGATGTAAAGATAATGCATTATTTAAATAAAAATAATTTGAACAAAATAGTTTGAAAATAATGTCTCTCAATATTAAGTATTATAATAATAACAAATGAAAATAAGATTATGTTATCTGTTGTTGAACCAAATTACAAAATAGGTTAGTATAATGAATTTTATATAATGTATTATATACACTTTAAAATGTTGGGGCGTCCGTGGCCGAGTGGTTATACTTGCTCACAAGTCTGAGTCCAAAGTTTAACAAATAATGACGAAAGCCTTCTATTTGTTTATTTATGACTAACAATATTGTTAGATAAGTATTTTTTTTTTGGAGAGCAACATGAACAGAAAAAAATACCTTTCAAAATTTTATATCAGAATTCTTTAAGATATAGTGGATTTTTCTACAAATGAATCATTATGATACTTCAAAATTGAGAGAAAAATGTTGATCTAATTCTAAGTAATAATAGTATGAACATTTATATGCTGAATAATTATGTTTTGTTCTGGAACACTTTATTATAGGTTTTTTATAAAGATATAATATCGGATTATATATCCTATACTTATAAATATAAATCCGTATATAATTATGTTGCGATGTGTTCGGATGTATAGTACTAAATACTATCAATAAACTTTTTGATGGTATTGCATACCTCCCATTATGAATCAATTCACTTTAAATGTAATATCTTTTAAATTGTTTTAAGCGTTCTCTCGTTTGTATAAAATGATTATAAATCACAAATTTAGTCATATAATTTCTCTTTCAAATCTTGCTGTAATTACAATTTTCTTGTTTATATTTGCTTTTAACATTTCGAATGTATTTTTCACCCGTTATTGATCTCCTTTTATTTCACATGAAGAGACAATAGTTTACTTCATTGTAATTTAATAGAAGAAAATAAACATCCTCGAAGACCTCATATTGCAATATTGATGGCACACAATAGAACAATAATCCCGTTAATAGAAAGAACCGAACAACAGTTTTTTTACATAAAAAGAAAACTACTATGTAGTAAATTTTACTTCCGTTCCGAGTTCTTACAATTTCTACATCCATGCAATATAAATCATCAACGTTTAGAACTTTATCACGTTCTTATTTCAATTCCAAAATAATACGTGGTAAATCCATATGAATTTTTTGGACCAAAATGTCTTTGTGCCTGTAACAACTTTGATAGAACTCATGGAATAAAAGTCTAACACCAGAATAAATTATGGTTCCATTGATGTAGACGATTCAATTGTTTCACGGTCATGATCACCTTGTAAACTTATCTTTTCAATCATCTATATAATTATAACAACATTTATTTAGGAAACTTAATAATAAAACAATTCTGAGTCTAAATTAGTTCCTTATTTGAAAAGTACTAGCGTTAACTCAAGCTTGTATAGGAGCATAAATCATAAAATATTTCAGGAAAAGTGATCTGAGCAAAATAACTAAAAGATGGGAATAAAAGAAGCACGATTTAATAACATCAAATGAGGTGATCGTTTTTAAAAATATAAACTCCCGTTTTAAATTGAATATGGATTGTCAATGAAAACCTTATCTAAAATCATAATTATAATGCCCACTATAATATCTTAGTATTTTATCGATAAATTTGCTAGAATAGAATACATCCTTTTAACAAGTTAAGACAAACGACTTTTTCCTAATCTTTATTTCAAAGAAATAACTGCTTGTTTTTTAAAGCTAACGGCTAAGTTATTTTTTGCAATAAGGAAGAACCAATTCCTGTTTTGAAATATTTTTCAACTAACAATTTAGATTTTTATTGGATTTGTGGCTAATTTTAACTTCCTGAACCAAACGAGTTTGTATTGTAATGCTCTAAATGTTAGCAATAAGTAGCTCTTGGATTTGAATGAGTTGTTGTTATCAAACCACACATTTGTTTCTTTAAGTATAAGATAATGTTATTTTTGAAAAAAAAAACAATTAAATAAAAGTAACGGACATTATACTTTGTCAGGACACAAATTGAATGTTAAATCGCCACGTTTGGGCCAAATAATATTATGTACATAAAACGTCTATTAAATGTCATGTTTCCTTTTCCTTGTTGATCTTGTTATCATTTATTTTCCCTTCTACTAAATGCGAACGTTTAAAAGACTTTAATAGGAGTAAACCTTCCTTTTTCGTTTGTTATTTCTTGACACTTTTCAGAAATAGCATCTAACATAATGTAAATTTAAAGAGCATATAAACAGCCAAATCCAATTTCGAGGGCAAAGACACCTAACTTATCAATCTCTAGGACAAGTAAATATTTAAGATACTACAAACTTAATAAACATTACTTTGTATGAGCAAATATTTATATTCACCGTATCACATAATGTTGTTATCGGACGGAATTCTTTAGGATCACCAAATGAATATATATAATCGGCCACATTCAGTGCAGAAAATAAGACTTTCAAATTTATCAAGATATATTATTTATTTTATAAATTGAAAGAAATGGAAAACAAAACTCGAAATATTTAACA